TTTCATGTTTAAAATATTTAAAATATGTTTATAAGATCATAATCATACGAGTACGAGGGTTATATTTCCTAAATATTTTTTTTAGAAATGACATATTTGGGTCTTTAGAAAAGTTAAATCATTTTAAATTAAAACAAATAAGCTTACCATATTATTGTAAATATAAGTAAATCGCGTGTTAAAATAATACCAATAGAGCAGAGTTTGTGTGGATTTGTAGAAATGATTTTACCAAACAGGGTAACGCTATTCTTGGCTGGTATGCCTTTCCCATGACGCACAGCGTCATCAACCTACTAGGAATTTCCTAAAACTTATAACATAACGGAAATGCCCGTAATAGTGTTGCGCAATGAAAAACAGCGTTTCTTAACCCATGTCTTTTAAACTATGTATTCGAAATTAAATCTTTTACTCGTCTTAGATAAATTTCAAAGTTTGATGTTATGTAACATGTTGTGAACTAGATTTAGGAACGTAAATGGTATATATGAAATGTTGCTGACCGTGAGAGCGTTTTGGGAAATCGAGATAATGGGATCAAATCGTTGGGTCAGTTTGTGGTTTTAGGGTAGGCTGGGCATTCTTTGGGCATTCGGTTCAAAAAGATATTTTGTTAAACTATATTGAGGGTTCTGCAGTTATTTAGCGTGTTAGTGTACGGGCTTTCAGTGTCGTTGTAGTGACGTTTACATAGAGGATGTTTTGAACTTGTTGTTATCCAGTATAACCATGTACTTAATGAACGTTAGAATGTTAAATTTTGACTAGGTATTTATACTGGTATCCTAGGTTAGTGTTGACCTCCTATAACACTTAAGGTCTACTGCCGGTTCAGTAAACGCATCTATTGGCGGGAGTTGTTAATGTGGGAGAAGACATGTAAAGTCTTATGAAGATCGCTTCATCTCATAACGATACACCGTTAAAACAGAAAGCAAATGCTTATCGTGTCATAGGTTACACAAATGACATAATTTTCGAACAGAGGAATAAACTGCAATGTTTAAGTTAAAAATATATAATTAAATTATTAATATTCAAAACTGTTGTGTCAAATACTTTTACAATCACCCTATTTCTGTTTTTATTTTTTTAAAAAAGGTTTTCAATTGTTGAAACTCTAGACTTGTTTGAATACATTAAAACGTTTAACATTAATTACCTTAAAGCGAGAACAAGCATAATTTAATGCTAGTGTGCTAATGAATAAAATATGTGTAAGACCAACTACATAAAGACCTTGTATCAAACTTGATAGCATACAATTCTAATAAAGGGTCTGCCTAGTTTTATTTAGAATAAGTTTTATAGTCTATGTGTGGTATTCCTAAGGGGTATAACTGAGTGGGGGCGGCTTTAGTTGAGTTTTACGATCACATCTTAGTAGTGGGCACAATGGGTTGGTCTTTCATTTCCTAAATACAAGTTTGGGAAGCTATTGATCTCTAACTTAAAGTTTTTTTTTTTACTTTTGGTAATGCAATTTTTAGATGAACTTAAAAACATGGTCCTCACTAATTATGATTTGTAGTAAAACAGCCATTCTGGTTTTGGTAGTGTTCGTTGCTGCATCCATATACTGGCATTTGTGCAGCTGTTGGGGAAGTGATGTTGCTATTCTAACAGCTCCTAGCAGATGCCAGGGCAGCCTTGAAGTTTTTGACCGATGTCAAGTCCACAGCAGCATTGCCCAGGTGGTTCCAAGCGATTATTGTGCGTGGGAAGAATGATCGTTAATACTGCACTGTGTTACACCAAGGCACAGTGAAGCATTTGCTATTGTTTCGGGTGTAATTTGTTAATGGAGTTTTCAGTGGTGAAATCAGTGTTCAGTGAGCGGTTTGGCAACGATTAATCGGCTTGGCTTCAATTTTTTCAAAAATAGTCTTACATTTTTTACACTTATCATGCATTGTCATTGCGTTTTTTAGTTTACTCATTTTTATACTAAACTAAGAAAAGTACCATATTTTACTTAAAAATTGTCCTTAATATTGGGCTTTTTTTTTGGGGTACTTTTTTTGTAGGGGCTGGGGGGCAGGGTTTTTATAAATGATTTACATTTAAATGTATTTTTGTGTATGGACAAATAACACATTTAACCGGTATGTTTTAAGTGGCAATTAGAATTGCAGCATTTGCTATTGTTATTATATAAATAAAAGGGTAAACATAAAAAAAATGATGTTTAATATTTTAATTATGTTTTAGAAAATAAACACATAGATATGCATACTTTGTTCTATTATTATTGTTAAAATACCAGTTTGGTTTTCTTTTTAAACATGTAATTTTTAACAATATAAAATTAATGTAATTAAAGTTATAAAATAAAAATACAATATTAGTTGATAAAATTAAGGTAACAATTCTAAACTTCCTTTCATTTTTGATTGAGACTATAGTCGCCGTAGAGCAAACAGCACAAACACATCAAATCAGATTAAAAATCGTCTCTCATTTCTGAGTTGAATGAACACCAGATGAAATATGTGCTTGCATGTGACTAAATCTAAGGGAAAATTCAGTTAAGCTTTAAAACACTTGCAACATGATTGATTATACCGTGTGAATTATTTCGTAATTAATATTTTGAATTTTGTCATTCACATCAATCAAAACTAATAGTTTCTTAATGATTTTAAAATTTTTTTTTTTTCTCAATTGTATATGTGAATTTTTATTATTATTATTTTTTTTGTGGTAATTACAGTTCGTTTAATTTTTAAGATGCATAACATAAAACGAACAAAAATCACATATAAAAAATTACAATTGAAAATAGACAGCAACATAAGCACATATGAAATCGAGTTGCCTCCAGATGGAAGCCCGGAATTAAAATACATATTAGATAAAGCATTGTAAATCTTTCTTTAAAAGCATAAGAAAAATGCTTTAAAACAGCGCAAAAATAGTTTCTTGTTTAATTAAAAAATGTACCGTAAAAAATATTATGGAACCTTTAATTTCAATTTAAAATCTGAAAATTTCGCGTCCTTTTTTTTTTAAAGAGGAATCTTCTTGATAGTCAATAAAGATAATTTTAATTACCTCATCAACCGTAATGTCAAGTTTCTTGGACTGTTAATCTAACAACATTATATTTGCGCATGTGCATTTAGAACAATATAATTTTTAACGAAAGTTTAATAAGTTATTTTGCAAGAACAATGACTAAGTGTCCTTAAAAAAACAACATACAATTAATTATATTTTATTTCAAGAGATACAATTTTATTTAAGTTGAACACAATTTCATGTTCGGGATATTGTTTTGTTAAAACATTAATAATATGGTATTAAAGCATTAATTTAAACTAATTTGATAATCTCTAAATGTATTTACTACTAAACAATAGAAAAAAAAGGTTAATTTTTTTTTAAAATCTCCATAGAATGCATACAACAATGCATGTTTTACTTTATATTTAATCATAGAGAAACCACATTATTCAATGGGTATGGATGATTCTCATATTAAATACAATATTTGATTAATAAAATTACACATATGTAAATGCAGTTTCCTGAAACACAATACAATATTTAATACATCAAAAAAATGCAATTTGATTCAAAAAAAAAAAAGTATGAATATCAAAGAATAGAAAAAAATATAAGAAATAGACTAGATTAGTATAACTATGCCATTTTAACTGTTAAAATATGACTTTCATTGCACGAAAATTTAATTGACAATCTCTATACTATATTCAATATGAAAACATTCTTTAATGTATCTGGTTATTTATATTATAATGCAAATGTGTACTTTTTTGTTATTTACTTGTTTATTTTTTAAATTAGTATGCATAGTCAGAATTTTTTTTTTTCTGGAAACTCAATAATTTTTCAAATATATCCAGTGTCTTATTGTAATTTAAAACATTGCAACAGCGCTCCGGCTAAAACTCTCAGTGTAATTAAGTTAAATTATATTATGTTCGAAATGAATAAAAATTATTCTAAAATAAATAAAATACGAATAAATTAGTACATGAATATAATTTTAAAATTCACAAAAATATACTAGAAAGAAATAATTTAAATAAGCTTATTCCCGCTCTTAGCCAGATGTGAATCCTATCGTGTTATCCAAAAGGTACTTAAAAGAGAAAAGATACCTCAGAAAATAGAGAGATACGTGCTATAATTTAGTGTTAGCTGCAAAAATTCTCTTTTTGAAACAAGATTAATTGTAAACTTTTACTTAAGTATCTATCTGTCTATCTATCTATCTATCTATCTATCTATCTATCTATCTATCTATCTATCTATCTATCTATCTATCTATCTATCTATCTATCTATCTATCCATCTATCCATCTATCCATCTATCCATCTATCCATCTATCCATCTATCCATCTATCCATCTATC